TTGAGAGAGAGACTGAGACAGAGAAAGAGAGCATGAGATGGGGGAGGATCAGAGGGAGAAGCAGACTCCCTGCCGAGCAGGAAGCCCGATGCGGGACTCGATCCCGGGACTCCAGGATCATGACCTGAGCCGAAGGCAGTCGCTTAACCAACTGAGCCACCCAGGCGCCCAGAAATTTCTTTTATTTCTTACCAGTTTTCATGCTCAATCATATACATAACTATATATGTTATCTGACTTCACTTTCTGGAAAGGACTGCCACATACCAAAAAACATAATGAAAAGAGACACAATAATCAATCATATTTACTCAGTGCTTTTTCTCCACAGAATTCTAAAAGTTTTGCTCTCGGTTTGACAATCTGCACACCTTCCCTAAGTGAAGGTATGTAAACTTTCTGTAAACTTACAAGAACTTTAAGTAAACTTAAAGAACAAAAAAAAGTTAAGCACTAAACACACACATTTAGTGGACACAAACCCACACCAACAGTGCAGAGCTGGCATCTTACGGGGCCTGCCCAAGTGATTCACATGCATTATCTTGTAACTTTATTCCAAACTTAAAAGATAAATGAGAAAAAAGAAAAAAAAAAAATCACCCGATGCCTAAGTTGCACAGAAATTAGTAAAGAGAGAAACTGAACAGTATGGCTCTGGTTAAGTAAGCATTAACACTGTCTATACCTCAGTTTCCCAACTTTTCAATGAGGATAACAGCGTTGACACATAATATGAGCATCACGAATGCTTATTCTTAGAGGCCCTTGTGCAGAAAAATTATTTAAGTGCAGGATATTATGCTATTTAGGACCTTGAAAAAATACCAGAAATTCACAAAATGACTAAAACCATAACTAATAATTTTTTAGGAAAAGATACCTTCCGAGTCATCTAGAGGAAGAAACTGGAGTTGTTTTCTTGGATTGGTACGTTGTAATGCAGACACAGGAACAGTATCTAAATCATCCAAAAGTATATCAAATCTATTGAATGAAGCAAGTTATTTGTGAGAAAAAAATGTTAACTGATTTTCCCTATCTCCACTAGAAAGATGAGCTGGCATCCAGTTAACTCACACATTCACGTATATTTTAAAAAGAAAGATGGTCACATAATTTTCTAAAACTGAAGTTTAATTTATATTTTCTAACACAAAATTATACTTATATATGAGAGACTTAAAGCATTTACCCATACATTATCTCCTTCAATCTTTATAACAACCTTATAATATATGCAGGGCAGGTATTATTATCCCTGTTTTATAGAAGAGGAAACCTGAGGTTCAATGAGCTTAAGAAATTTCTCAAGAGCCTGATGGAGCCAGGTCACCAGCTCTTCCATCGTAGGCATGCATGGCTCCCCACAGGGGCACACACTGCTGACCACACTTCAGAGAGAGGACAATTGTCTCAGGCACCCAGGGAAACTTACGTGTATTGCCAGGGCCATCCCAGGACAGCCCACTTTCTTGTACAAATGGCTCAAAAACTGCCCTGTATCATAAACCTTTTCAGGAAAACAAAGAATTATCATTCTATATCCAAAAGCTGGAAGGGATTCTGAGGCAGTATTTAAATTCAGTAGTAGCCAGTATCCACAGTTAAAAACTGTTTTCATGGATTACAGTATTTTTTTATTTTTAATATGACATTCATTTAAATGATTTAAATCCAAAGGGTTCCCACTGGCAACTGAAAAATTAGTGATAGCTACAGGCATAAAGCTGACACTTAAAAAAAAAAAAAATCAGTAATAAAATATTTTATTCTACTATTTTAGAGAACTTACCGAGTTGGACTGCTTTCATTTTTGCTCAGTAGATGACTAAATCCTGGGGACAAATTTTCTTTAGGGGATCGCTTTGGACTATAAGCCACAGTCACTGGTGTTAACATAATCTCTCTTTTTGCTACAGAAGAAAATGAAGAGGAAATATTCTCTTCCTTCAATATAATGCATATATTGGCAGAACATACTTTCTTGTTCAGTACTTTTTTCTAACTTTAATGGAATACAATTTTATTATAAAACTTTTTGAAAGATAAATAAGAGCATACAAAAGAAAAATAATTCATAATCCTAACACCTAGAGGGAACCACTGTCAACATTTTAGTGTATCAGACTGCAGTGTCAGCACGCAGACTCAAAACTGGTTTTTCAGGATTTTAGAAGTCGACCGGAAATAAGATGGAGACACCAGCACACATTCCTGTCCACTGTCACACGGGGCCACACAAATACCGCCATGCACTCCTGTCACACGGGGACACACAAATATCTTCAGCTGTTCTGAAAATGGAAATCGAGAAAACAAATCCAATGCTTAACCTTTAAAACCGTAACTGTAACTGACTAAAGAAACCAGAGGAAACTATATGAAAAGAAGTATATCTTTTCCAGGCTAGCTTAAATTAATTTGTTTGAACTAATGTTTAATTAGATAGTTGTCAATGCTCTCAAAAACCGTGAAATGGTAGGAGTTGCAAAAAGGAATTTGCTGAACACACACAAAAATCTCATTTGAATATACTGTGATAATTCCTTCACCTATAGTCATAGTTATCTGTGCAGTCAGGTGATATTATTGAACAAGACCTTATTTAGGGACCCTGTGCTCAGAGGACTCTAGTAGGTGCTAGAGAACATAAGGGAAACAAAAAACATCAGGCATGTGTGCACAGCTCGGATACCACTCTTTTGAGCCCAGGAGATAGACACATCTAACTCTTACTTGGAGTACTTGATTTACGAGTTGAAGGTGGTAAAGACGAGGACCTCTGTGAAGCAGAATTAAATCTCCTCTGTCTTTGTTGGGCACATTTCTCTGGGGACTGACTTGCACTGACTGACGTTTCAGTTTGCCGAGGATTCGCTAATTCTGTAACAGAGAAATGGTTAAAAAGTAAACAAAACAAACCTAGCTCTGGTTACCCGCCTTTATTAACAGATGATTACGCCAAGCAAGCAATTCTCACTATCCAGGTTAGAATGATTATTTGCAAATACACGTTGTAAGGACTAAAAAATGCTTGATGAAGAAAAATGTGGGAGTTTATAATGAATTCATTCCGGCTTCCTGTTTACAATTGCCATTCAAGGTGATTTTTTAAGAGAGATTATTTTTAGAAAGCAAGTCACTAATTTATTTACTAGGAGATACTGCTTTGGAGATGCAACGCCCAAGATGTGAACAACGTAATCAGCAGGCCCGATCAAGTGAGCACTGGAGTGAGTACAAGGAGATGCAAGTAGTGTTGACCTGTGCTTGTGAGAAAAATGGTATTCAAGATACTTCTTGGGGCACCCGGCTGGCTCAGTCGGAACAGCATGTGACTCTTGATCTCGGGGTTGTGAGTTCGAGCCCCACGTTGGGTGTAGAGATTACTTAAAAATAAAAAATAAGGGGCGCCTGGGTGGCTCAGTTGGTTAAGCGACTGCCTTCAGCTCAGGTCATGATCCTAGGGTTCTGGGATCGAGCCCCGCATCGGGCTCCCTGCTCAGCCGGAAGCCTGCTTCTCCCTCTCCCACTCCCCCTGCTTGTGTTCCCTCTCACGCTGTCTCTCTCTCTCTCTCCCTGTCAGTTAAATAAATAAATAAAATCTTTAAAAAATAAATAAATAAAAAATAAAAAAATCTTAAAAAAAAAGATACTTCTTATCCTACTGAGAGATGCTCAGTAACCAAGAAAGGGAAAGTAGAAAACGTTACATCTCACTTTATGAATACCAAATGTCTACTGTAACTTTCCAAGGACAAACTGATGTAGATATATTTCAAATATCTTTAAGAATGCTGCATAAATTTTTACTAATCAGAATGTAACATGTAGTCTATAATCTATTACCTGTCTATATCAAACAAGGGAAAAATGCTTACTATTTGAGGTGTCCTCTTTCTCTGTCTGTGTGCCCCAATTTTTAAATATTTTTCCTTCATCGAGTTCTTTTAAAGCTTTCATGATTGGTGTATCTGAAGTCTCTCTTTGTTTTTTTATCAATAAGCTTCTTGGTGAACTTTCAGATGAAGAATCCTTTTCCGGAGGAGAATGGTACCTTAAATAAGAATTGTAAGACATGCAGTGCTATGAACTGAATATTTGTGTCCCCCCAAAACACTTGTATGTTGGAGCCCCAATCCTCAGTGGATGGTGTTAGGAGGTGAAGCCTTGGGGAGGTGATTAGATTTAGATGAGATCATGAGGGCGGGACCCTGTGATGGGATTAATGCCCTTCTAAAAAGAAGAGATACAAGATGTCTCCGCCACACACATTCACCAAGCAAAGACCCTATAACCAGGAAGAGGGCCCTCACCAAGAACCCAACTGTGCTGGCACCCCAGTCTCAGACTCTCAGACTCCAGAACAGCCGGAAAAAGTGTTTCTTGTTTAAGCTGCCCGGTCTACGGTGCTTTAAAATAGCAGGCTGAGCTAAGACAGAGGCCCCTGGCACTGTTAGGGAATGACATGAGAGTTAACAATTACACTCCACAATGAATATATATGCTTTACAATGTAAATAAACTAAAACTGAACCTGCATGTAATAGACCAGCACTTCCCAGTCCTCTTCACATCCTGGCACATACATAAGTATTATATTTATATGGTGCTCTGGAGTAATATGGTTGCGTGGGCTGTCCAGAAGGTGCGAGGATCAACACCTTAGCCTAACCGAGAGTCTGTGCACAGCACACCACTGTCAGGAGCACAGGGTGGGGTACGGTCTGCACGGCCTTTGATCTTAAGTATCCTAAACCCATTAGCTTTTCAAAGTAAAATAAAAATCTGGTCCTCAAAAGTAAGACACTGAAGCCACAAAGAGAAGGCTCTTCTTTATGCCTTCCTGAACATTTAAAGGCAACTGAAATCTGTGAAACTGTAATCGACCCTAAATATGACCTTTGACAAAGCTACCTTACCCGGGAGCACAGGTTTCCCCTAGCTGGTTATCCACTCTGTTATCCTGGGTGTCCAAAGGCTGGCCAGTAAAGATGGAATACTCCGCTCCTGGTATCAGCCACTTGCGCCTGCTGACGTCGGAGGTGGCCAGCGTGCTAGGACAGGGAGAAACGATCTGAGGCATGACAGGCTCGTGCTTCAGTGCACACGGAACACATACCGAAAACAACCTGCTTTGTGGTGGTTTTGTCTTGTTTTTTTAAGATTTTATTTATTTGACAGAGAGAGAGAAAGAGAGCACACACAGGGGGAGCAGCAAGCAGTGGGAGAGGGAGAAGCAGACTTCCCGCTGAGCAGGGAGCCCGAAGGGGGGCCTGATTCCAGGACCCTGGGATCATGACCTGAGCCAAAGGCAGACGCTTAACCGACTGAGCCGCCCAGGTGCCCCAAACAACCTGCTTTGAAATGGTACGTACACATTTGTACAGTAATTCTAAAAGTGCATAAAACAACCTTATTTTAGATATACGAATTCTATTTTATGGTTTTCAGATCCAACCAAACTATTATTTTAGGTTTCTGTTACTTTGGGCTATTTCTGCATCTCAGTCAAGGTATTCTCCTGTCTACACAGCTCTGAACACCCCCAAATAACTTCCTACCACACTTCCTATGCTTCACACCCAACCCATAGCTCAGGTCAAGGAGGTACAGCGAGAGTGCCCTTCTCATTCCTCCCAGACCAGCACTGCCCAGGAGAACTTTCTGTGAGAACAGAAACATCCTCTATCTGTACAGCCCAATACAATAGCCACTAGTCACATGCTGTTGAATTGTGGCCAGTGAGATGAAGAAGCAATCTTTACAGGTTATTTAATTTTAATTAACTTAAATGAAATAGCCACACACAGTGACTAGTGTATTGAGTAGTGCAGCTGAAGGCCAGTCCTTCCCGCATCTTCTGGACACCCTGCCCAACTCAAGCTCACACATCATGCATTAACCGGCCCTTTGCTAGACTTCAGAACTGTTCTCACCTTCTCCACACCTGCTCCTGCCCTCCTACTTCAGTGTCCACAGGGAGGAGCTATCCTGGACCTCTCTCCAATGATTGGACTCGACTCCTGTTTGCTCGCCCGCCCTTCCATTGGAGAATACTCACTGGACTTCATCATCACTAGAGAACACATCCCCTTAAGAAGTCACAACTCCAGGGGAGCCTGAGTGGCTCAGTTGGTTGGGTGACTGCCTTTGGCTCAGGTCATGATCCCGGAGTTCCGGGATCGAGTCCCGCATCGGGCTCCCTGCTTGGCGGGGAGTCTGCCTCTTCCCTCTGACCCTACCCCCTCTTGTGCTCACTCTCTCTCAAATAAGTAAATAAATAAATAAGAAGTCACAACTCCAAAGATTCTTCTGGCTAAGGTGCTCAAGTATCACCAAGGCACTGTGACCCCAAGGCCTGTGATCCCTGGCCTCACCACTTAACCGACTGAGCCGCCCAGGTGCCCCAAACAACCTACTTTGAAATGGTATGTACACATACCCTAGCTTTTTCAGCTCCCCTCTACCTACTCTGGGGTGCACAGTTACTCACTGCCTTGATCCCCTTTCCGCACTCACCTTCCCTCACCCCCGACTGGCAGCAGAGACCTAAGCCTGAGGAACACGGTGGTCTCGCTCCCGAGTGTCTACAGTCCTAGCTCTGGGCTTTGCTGGAAGCAAGCCACCCAACTGTGCAGCCTGGGCGAGCACCACAGTCACCATCACCATCTCCACGGACACCCAACACTGGCTGACAACATATGTTTCTGTAATCGACAAGCTCCAGTTCTCCAACAGGACTCCCTTACACCTTTCTCCACTCTCCTCAAACCTCTCCCAGCCCTCCCGGTCAGCTGATAACCCCGCAGAACACTTGGGAGGGAAAAAAGAGACGAGGAGACAAGAGGTGTCTTCCTCTCTCTGCTCCCTTCCACAGCCAAACTTCTTACAATTTCCCTCATTTTCAGGTAAACTCCCCATCGCTCCCTTCCTTTTTCCCTCGATTTTTAAATTAAGAAACATTCCCCAAACGTTCTTAGAAAATTACATAGACTACTGCAATCACTCACTTGTACTTAGTTTTAACAAACACTAACATCTTACCATATTTGTTTTCAATGGTAAGACAGAAGATTCTGCATATAAGGTCATTTGTATTTTTTAAATTATGTCCACATAATGCACACGTCCTTTTAATGCTGCTGTTTCTACTCGTGTTTCAGATTTCTCCATGTTAACACAGACAGGGGCATCATTTTAATTATTTACCCACAGTACAATTATGCCACACCTTATCTATCCTTTCTCCTGCTGGTGGATGTTTCAGTTTCTATGCATCACCTTTCAACGCTACAATTAACATGTGTAGGAATTCCTCTGAGGTAAATATCCAAAAACAGAACTGTGGAATTTGGGGTGCACACATCTTCAGTCTTACTGGATATTGCCAAATCACGGTCCAGACAAGCTTATCGATTTTCAGTCCAACCAGCAGTTTGAAGGTTCCTATTTCTTCACATCTTTGCCAAATTTTACAATGATCAGAGCTGGAGTCTGGCCTGGCCTGTCTGATGGTGTGAGTGGTATCCCATGCTTATTTTAATTTGCATTTTTCTAATTACTAGTAAAATGAACATCTTTTCAATTTTATCAGCCATTTAGAGGTTTCTTTTTCTGTGAATCATTTGTTCGTATTCTTTTATCATTTTTCTATTGAGAGTTTTTCTTATTGATTTATAGTTCTTTATATCCTGGATACTGATCCCTTATTGGTTCCTGTTCACTTAAAATATAAAATATTTCAAACATGCACAGACATACAGATTATACTCATGCACCAACCATCTGTTTATGAACCTTGTTTGCTCTATTTCCGCTTAACAGAACACTACAGATACAACCCAAGTCGCCTGTGTATCTCACCAATATCATTCCTCCAATGTCATAACCCTAGTGTAAGCGGTCAGCTACCACTTTCACTAAATTTGTATCAGCATTCCATACACGTTGTTATACTTTTACTACTTCTGTATGAATCTGTAAGATACGTTCTAAATGCTAAAGTCAATATAAATACTGTCCTACTTCTTCTGCAACTGGTATTTTGTTGTTCCAAATTATGTTCTTTTTTTTTTAATCTTTTATTTATTTATTTATTTATTAAAGATTTTATTTATATATTTGACAGAGAGAGACACAGCGAGAGAGGGAACACAAGAAGGGGAAGTGGGAGAGGGAGAAGCAGGCTCCGCGCCGAGCAGGGAAGCCCGATGTGGGGCTCGATCCCAGGACCCTGGGATCATGACCTGAGCCGAAGGCAGACGCTTAACGACCGAGCCACCCAGGGGCCCCCAAATTATGTTCTTAAGATTAAACCATGTTGGGGTGCCTGGGTGGTGCAGTCAGTTAAGCGTCCAAATCTTGGCTTCAGCTCAGGTTGTGAGATCAAGCCCCACATTGGGCTCTGTGCTCAGTGTGGAGTCTGCCTGAGATTCTCCCTCTGCCTCTCCCACTCGTGCTCTCTCTCTCTCTTTCAAATAAGTAAATAAATCTTTAAAAAAAAAAAAAGATTAAATCATGTTAATGATCAACTTAAGTGGCTGACAAATTTTTCCTACAAAGAGTCAGATAATAAATAGGTTTTTTGTTTTGTTTTATTTTAATAGGTTTTATGGGCCAGATGATCTCTGCTGCAAGTACTCAAATTTGCCACTGTAATGCAAAGCAGCCAGACAATAGGTAAATGAATAAACTTTATTTATGGACACTGATATTTGAATTTCATATAATTTTTACATGTATGAAATACTATTCTCTGATTTTTTTCCAAACATTTTTTTTTTAAGATTTTATTTATTTGACAGAGAGAGAGAGACAGGGAGAGCGGGAACACAAGCAGGGGGAGTGGGAGAGGGAGAAGCAGGCTTTCCGCCGAGTTGGGAGCCTGATGCGGGGCTCGATCCCAGGACCCTGGGACCATGACCTGAGCCGAAGGCAGACGCTTAACGACTGAGCCACGCAGGCGCCCCTTTCCAAACATTTAACAACGTAAAAAGCACTCTTTGCTCACGGCCCTACAAACACGGGCAGCAGGCTGGACTTGGGCTGGGGCTGCGCTTGCCAATCCCTGATCTAATGTACGCACCGTCACACTACACAGCACCGTACATAAATATATCACAATATATTAATGTTCCAGCCGCAAGACATACAGGCCACTTTCACTCTACACAATCTTCCCAACGGATGTGCACATCTGTCCCTCCATGCAAACCACTCTCCAGGCCATCAAGGCCGGGCTGGCGCACCTAGGGGTCACCAGTCCCCGCAGTTGCTCTCTCGGCAGTATCTACACCATTGGCCACTTCAGGGTTCCTCCGAGCACCCTGGCAGCTCTTTCTCAGGTTCTTGTGCCAACTCCTTCTGGCCCCAACATCAAAACATCGGGGGGTCCTCAGAGCTTCATCCTACACCAACCTCCCACCACACACCCATCATCTATCCCAGAGTCAAGCACTACAGAATAATTCTAAAATTTGTAACTCCAGCCTAAGACCCTATTTCTGAATTCCAAATGTAAATTTATAATCACCTGCTTGATTCCCACTCGGAATTCGTATGAATCTCAAACTAAAATATTCGAAATGGAAATTCTGATCCTTACCCCATGGTCGGCTCTTCCCATTTCTTCCCTAGTTCAATATGTGGCACCTGGAGTTGCTCAAGACAGAAACCAAGGTGTTATCAGACACCTCTCTTTTAATCTTGTCATCTCATTCTTAACCATGTTCTGTGGATTCTATCTCCAGAATCTCTCGCAGACCCTTCTCTTCTGTCCATTTCTATGGCCAGCACCCAGTGAACACCGTTTCTCCTAACAGTATAACTGCCTAATTAATGTGTCTGCTTCTACTTTTCCTCTCCATCTTCTCCTCATGGCAGGTGCATTAAAAATATAGAAATCAGGGGCACCTGGGTGGCTTAGTCGGTTAAGCGTCCGACTCTTGATTTCAGCTCAGGTCATGATCTCAGGGTCATGAAATTACACCCCGCATTGGGCTCTGCACTGCGCCTGGAGCCTGCTTAAGATTCCCTCTCTCCCCCTCTCCCTCTGTCCCTCCCACCCTGTTTGCTCGAGCTCTCTCTCAAAAAAAGAAAAGAAAAGAAAAAAATATCAGATGACCTAATTTTACCACATAAAACCTTTCAAAGGCTTCCCAACAGACTTAGAGTAAAATCCAAACTCTTGACCATGGCTTAGAAAGCGATGTACGACAGTCTATGATTTCATCTGGAGCTATTTCACCCCTTGCTGGCAATATTCAGGTCACATAAGCTTCCTCCAGGTTCTTTAAAACATGTTAAGCTCTTTCCTACCTCTGGCCGTAGTAAAGCTCATTCCTCTGCCTGGAACATGCCCCTCCCTCATGCCTCCCACACCAACAACTCAGCACAGGGCTTACCTCCCGGACTACAAGTTACGTCCACAGAAAGGCCTTCCCTGACCCCAATCTCACAGCACTCTTGTTGTCGCTCAAATGTTCAATTTCAGTAACTTACAAAATTTTTTCTTTAAATAATTCACTATGTTCTAACTTAAGGTCAATGAACAAAGATCTAGAAAAAGTTTCTCATTTGACAATGACATAGGTTAAAATTTACAATTAACACTCTTTCTCATACACATCAATATTATGACCTTATGATCTACTCATTTAACATTCTTTACAAAATCATACAAAAAACCAATCTAATATGAAAAAAACTACTCTATAAATGTATCAAGATAATGCTCTGAGATTACAGCAAAGCCAATTTTGAATAAAAAACTAAAAAGAAAAATTCATACAACCTAATGAAGATCTATCTTCATAGGTCTGCCCATTAACATAGGAATAAAATTTCTGGAATTTTAGGGCTAAAAGACCTTTTGAGATGTTCTAGCTCAATGTCCTTGTTTTTAGAGATAATAAAATTGAGCTCCCAAAAAAAAACTAAGTGATTTGCCTAAGGTCACACAGCTGGGCAGAGTCAACAAAGAAAACATTCCAAGTCTCTTTACACCCAATCTGATTCTATTTCCTCCTTTTGGCAAATGCTCCCGCATGAGAGGTTTTATGATATCTAATAATTAGATGGTTTTACTTTCCTGTTTTTTTAAGTAAGCTCTGCACCCACCACCCCGAGATCAAGAGTCGCATGCTCTACTGAGTCCCAAGCGCCCCATAATTAGATGTTTTTACACATCTACATTCTATAATGAGATTTAACTCTGACTTCCTATGACTTAGACAGATGAGCTTCTCAGTTTAATGAAAGGGTGCACTTATTTCTAGCTTTACAGAGATTAAACAAAATAACTTACTTGGCACGTGAGGATCTCATGGGAGTTTTAGAACTATGGCGAAGACTTAACATATTTTCATGCTCTACTTGCTTGACCTGAGCTTCAAGTTTTGAAATTGTTCTAATTCAAAAGTAAAAGGAGAAATTAAGTACACAAGTTAAAATATAGCTCAACTACAAATTACTTATTTAACAGTCGCTTCTAGAAAAGGGGTGACAGAAGAACCGCTGGTCTGTAAGCCTTTTTCAAAATAAAAGCTGAGCAAAACTGGAACATAAACTGAAAGGCAAATACATTAAACTCTACAAAGAAACACGCCATATACTATAATTGAAGGGTAAGGAAACAACAAACGGACTTTATATAGACAAGTTAAAAAAATTTATACATTTGACTACAGGTCAAAACACGATATAAATTAAATTAAAAAATAAAATAAATTCAAGGATTCAGTAAATTGCAATTCTAACATGTTTAATTCTAAACATATATATTCACGCATATAAAATATACATAGGTAATGTTTTCACAAAAAAGAAAGCAGGTTTAATATCCAATAAAAGAGCTAGTAAGAACTTCCTCATTTTTAAAAGACACAGAGGCTAAACTATCTTGAAAACTATCTACCGACAACTTACCTCATCTGTGCCATGTTCCGAATATAAGCCTATTTTCAAGTTTACCAAGAGAAAATAGGACTCTGGCCAATTAATTGCTTTGAGGTTATCTTGGCATTCTTTCTGTTCTTTTAAACTTTGCATATGTCTTCGTCTCATCTTTTAAGCTCAAATTCTTGCCTACCCTGATGCAAGGAAGGTTTGAGAAAGAATAGCTCTAACGGGCTGATGCTTTATGCCAATGTGATAAGGAAGCTATCAGCAGAACTGAATGCATCACAGAAAAAGACCTGAGCAGATGAGAAGGCCAGACAGCGTTCATGTTCTCCCCGATGGGAAGTGAAGTCTTGAGGAGTGCAGTAAAATCTCCAAATAAGGGACACATCTCCAAATACAAATACAAAAACATGCTCCAAAGCCAATTAGAAATATCTAATCATTTGCATAATGAAACACATAATGTTTCAGGAAATGCACACTCCTCAAACACAACCACCAATATACTCTAATCGTTTAAAAATCTTCTTCGGCTGGGCGCCTGGGTGGCTCAGTTGGTTAAGCAACTGCCTTCGGCTCAGGTCATGATCCTGGAGTCCCGGGATCGAGTCCCGCATCGGGCTCCCTGCTCAGCGAGGAGCCTGCTTCTCCCTCTGACCTTCCCCCCTCTCACGTACTCTCTCTCATTCTCGCTCTCTCAAAAAAATAATCTTTAAAAAAAAAAAAAATCTTCTTCGGCTAAAATCAAATGTATTTCCAGGTCAGGGGAGATTAGGATAAAACCTGATCACAAAGTGCCTAAAAATCCTCAAGAAAAACTTTCTTTTCATTGCTTTCAGTACAGACACATATTTAAATGCTAAAAGAACAACAGAGGCATAATTATCTTACTAGTAAGAGAATACATTTTACCTTTTCAAATCAGAAATCTGAGTATGTGCATCAAGCAATTTGTTCTCAGTTGTATTTAATGTATCCTATTAAGATAAAGGAAAAATTCGATAAGTGAAATATTCAGGATATATTCATTTTATTTTAAAATATGTAATATGAAACCAATCTAAGACTACACCATAGAGCTACAAAAAAAATTATGCAGATACTCAGCCAATATAGCATCAACCACGAGCCAGTATATAATTCAAGGGAAAAACTGAGAGAACAAAACACTGGTTTATACAAAGAGCCGTACATATATCCCCTGTAATAACAGGTATAGCTTATTAAGCTTCGCTTGATTACAAGTAATCCAGTGTTAAAATGGACATGTTTTAGCCACAGCTTGCCCAAAAACCTCAGTAAATGGCAAAACAGATACCTGTGCTGGTGAGATTTTAGATGTCCTGACCGGCTCCTGAGTCCCCAGAACACCTCCCTGCCTTCCTCTAACCCTGAATGACCACAACCCTGTATCCTATGCAACAGAAATACTTTGGACCCCACTTACAGCATCACTGTGGGGTTTCGCTGAATTCAAATAGGTAGTTCCCAAAGCTTTCATTAAGAAATAAAACATAATAAATTCAACCCCACAAAAAGCGAATGCTTTAAAAAACTTCGTATTTAAATATTATTAAATAATTATTTACATGTATATCATACCTTATACTCTTCTAAAAATTTCATCTCAACTCATCTCAAATGCAATAGCCATTCAATATTTGTTAACATAGATCTAAAAATTTATGACTTAAGTGGGCAAATATTTGAAAATAAGGATATTGACAGAGAAGATGAAGCGAGTGGTCTAACTCAAGCAGCTAAATGGGGATGGAGGATGGGGAGAACAGAGGGGGTTATATAAGGGGTCAGCCCTCTTCATTTCCAACCCAGTGCTTCTACCCCTCCATGAAGCTCAGAACATGAATGATCAACCATTACCTTTACTCTTTCGTGTTCTTTTCCAAGGGACTCATATTCTCCTAAGAGCTACAAGGAAAAACAAAGAAATGTACCACAAAATTAAACATTATAACATCAACTCAGAGATCGTCTATAAAATAGCTGTCCATACAACTCTTTAAAAATGCTAAGGTCTTGAAACAGAAAGGTTAACACTCTGTTCCAGATTGAAGGTGACTAAAGGGATAAGAGGAGTGAATATAAGGCATGATTCTGGGTTGGATCCTGAACTGGGAAAAAAGTGCCATAAAATAATAATTTAGATGTGAATTGCACATTTGATTTCTTTACTTTGATTTGTCTGTGACTATGTACAGAAGGCCCTTGTTCTTAGGAAATACATACCAAAATGTAGGGGTAAAGGGGCATAATGTCCACAACTTACTCTCAAATGGTTCAAGAAAAAAAAATGCATATGGGAACGAACATATATATACAGGAGGTGATAAAGTAAATACGGCAAAATGTTAACAACTCTGATCCTAGGTAAAAGGAATAGGATAATTCTTACAAGTTTTCTGTAAGTTTGAATTTGTTTCAAAATAAAAACAAAAATTATATAGTATCAGTCAAGACCCTTTAAGTAAGCAGTATTTTGAAAGATTAAAATTTGCATTCTTTTTTGAATTGTATACTTTTTTTTATAAATTCCACAGAGTAAAGGCAAAATCCCAAGTCTAATATAATTAGGTAATTTTCTTAAAAATACATACATGTGAGACTTATTAAAGAAGAGAGAGTCAAAGCATTTTCTTTTTATCCTAAGATCCCACTAAACAATGAGGCAGTTACAGAGAAATCAAGAGTTGAGTGCAACAAAGGAGAGATCTCAATGAAGATGCAACAAGGCAGAGGAGGCTATAAGCTTCAGTGCCTGTAAATGGGATGCTAACGGTGAGCAGGCTGGTATCTTCATAACCCTGAGAGGCTCAGGACTTGAATCTCAGGTTCAGTAGTAGGTAGGGTGGAAGCACAGGCTGACCAAAGGGAACTGGTTAAAAGTCTTTCAGTTGAGTGGCCAGAGCCTAGGACAGCAGTGGACTGCCCAGCCAGGCGATAGAACACAGGAAATGTGAATGAGAGACGAATGCCACTCTGGAAACCGAAGTCTAACAGGTGGAGGAAGCAAAGGGATAAGGAGGTGATGATTAAGGAAAAGTTTAAAACAAACAAACAAACAAAACCAACTTGGCTCCCCATCCCTCACTGCCACCAGAGCATGATAAGAGACCGGGAGACTCTTCTTTGGGTAAACCAAACAATCCCAGAAAACAGACCTTCTACATAATCACATCTGGAGGTTCCCTAACCAAACGGCTGGTCCATCACTCTATGATTGCTTATACGGAAAGGCTACTAAGCTACTAGGAAATAGGCCCCATCTGTGCAGAGAGTCTCCAAATGGCTTTTGACTGCCTCCCCCTTAAATGTGAGTCTACAGTAAAGGAACACTTTTTTTTTTTTAAAAAGCAAAAAATTCAATATGAAGCTGACTTCAAAATGAAAGGTTAACTCAGAAAAAATAAATCAAAACTAAAGAAAGCATTAAAAAAGCTATTAATATCCTCAGAGAAATCAGGTTATATTCAAAAAACAAGACAAGAAAGCAATAAAAAACTAGCAACTGAAGAACAAGAAACAGCTCTTAGAAACTAAAAATGAGAACGAAAATAAATGTAATACTAAGACAAGGAGATAGAGAACAAAGAGGCCATGATGGAAACTAAAGCACACAAAAGTCTTAGAAAATCAACCCATGCAACACAACATTTACTGGCAAAAGTTCCAGAGAAAGAGAACACAGAAGTAAGGAAATCAACAGAGAAATAACATTAGCAAGTCTATAGAACCGAAGGACATTAATTTCCAGATTGGAAGAATCTGTGCCTCCAACAATGAATGAAAAAAGACTTGTATCAAGGCATATAATGTTATGGAATTTAAGGATACCAAGGATAAGAAGATGCTAAAACTTTCAGAAGGAGCTTTGAACTCATTTATAAGGAGTGAGAAACGCATTTACTAAACGCAATGGGTGGTCCTTGATTGGAGTGTGAATTAAAAAGCAAAAACCAAAACATCTATGATGGACATTATTTAGACAACTGGGGAAATCTGAATATAGACTGTAGATTAGATACTAGTATTGCATCAATATTAAATTCCCCGAGTGTGAGAACTGTGTTGAGATTATGTAGAACGTCCTTGTTCTGACGAGACACCTGCTGAAGTATTTAGGAGTGAAATCTCAGTGTCTGTAATTCACTCCCAAATTGTTCCGCAAAAGGAAAAAAATCTGTAATGTTGTGAAGACATAAAGCAAATGTGGTAAAATATTCACAATTGGTGAACTAGACAAGGAATATACAGAGGTTTTCATCATACCATCTGTACCATTTTTCTGTAGGCTTAAAGCTTTCAAAATCAGAGAGATGGGGGGAAAGGAGAAAACACAAAAGACACAGGATTGGGACAAGGGAGAAAGGAAGAGAATCAATCATCAGGTATATTCTCATGGCAACATAAAACAATGGGACAAAATCTTTAAAAATCTGATGGGAAGAAAACATACCCTAGAATTCTATACTCTTAGCCAAATGATATGTGAAGGACCTAAATCTTCATCCATGATAATTATGGATAATGTTAAAAATTCAAGAAATAGGGGCCCCTGGCTGGCTCAGTTGGAAGAGCTTGCGACAAGGCGCCCTGCTTTGTTTTTTTTGAAGTAATCTTTTCACCCAGTGTGGGGCTTGAACTCAAAACCCTGAGATCAAGAATCGCATGCTCCACCAACTGAGTCAGCCAGGCACTGCAAACGCAGTTTTTTTTTTTTTATAAAATGTGATAAGCCGAAAGTAGTATTTACATGAAATAAAATGGCAAAAATATTTTTAAAAGATAAAAAAAAAAGTTAAGGAAGCAGTACACCAAAAATCAAAGCTCATTATAAAATGCTAATAATTAAGATGATGTAGTTTCCTTTCAGGAACAAATAAACCAGTGAAACAGACTAGGGAGGCCCAAAACAGACTCATCCAGGAAAGGAACATAATATACAACAGAAGTGGCATTAAAAGTCAGTAGGGAAAAAATACTCTATTAAAAAATGGTGCCATCAGGGGCGCCTGGCTGGCTCAATCAGTGGAGCATACGGCTCTCAATGCTGGGGTCGTGAGTTCAGGCCCCACACTGGGTGTAGAGATTGCTTAAATAAATGAACTTTTTAAAAAAATGGTGCTGTGGGGCGCGTGGGTGGCTTAGTCGTTAAGTGTCTGCCTTCGGCTCAGGTCATGGTCCCAGGGTCCTGGGATCGAGCCCCGCATCGGGCTCTCTGCTCGGCAGGAAGCCTGCTTCTCCCTCTCCCACTCCCACTCCCCCTGCTTGTGTTCCCTCTCTCGCTGTGTCTCTCTCTGTCAAATAAATAAAATCTTTAAAAAATAAAAAAATTAAAAATGGTGCTGTGACACTTGGTTAATCATTTGAAAAAACAACCAAGTTCAATCCCTATCTCACACCACACATAGGAGGCAGTCTGGGGGTAGATTAAAGGCCTAAATGTATAAAGAAAGGCTGTATAATTTTAGAAGGCAATATACAGGATAGTAATTTTCTGATCCTTGAGTAGGAAAAGATTTTGTACACAAGACATAAAAGAGGCCCAAACCAGATATGAAAAGACTGTATTTTGGACATTAAAATACAAAACTTGGGGGCACTTGGGTGGCTCAGTTGGTTAAGTGTCTGCTCTGCCTTCCACTCAGGTCATGATCTCAGGGTCCTGGGATGGAGCCCCACGTTGGGCTCCCTGCTCAGCAGGAGCCTGCTTCTCCCTCTCCCTCTGCCCCTCCACCCATGCTCTCTCTCTCAAATAAATAAAATCTTAAAAAAATAAAATAAAATACAAAACTTGTACCCCACAAAAGATAACACCAGGTGAAATGCAAGCCACAAGCCAAGGGAAGAGAACTGCAATACATATTAATTAACCATTTCACATCAATCAGACTGGCAAAAATTAAGAGGTCTGACAACAGCAAGCATTGGAAATAATCTAGAAAATAAGAATTCTCATACATTACTGGTGGGAAAATGAACTGGTACAACCATTCCAGAGAGCAATTTAGCAGTATCTAACGAAGATGACAGTGTTCATATTCTAAGTCCCAGCCACTACACACAGACCTACCTAGGTTCAGGGGACAGACTGTATATCCCCAAAATGGCAGTAGCAATTTCTGCTCAAAGTCTTCCAGAACCTTGCCACACCCATCAAGAGGTGGTATCTATTTCTTCTTCCCTTGAACCTGGGCAGGTCTTTGAGATTATTTAAACAAATGGAATGTTGGGGTGCCTGGGTTAAGCGTCTGCCTTCGGCTCAGGTCATGATCCCAGGGTCCTGGGATCGAGCCCCGCATCAGGCTCCCTGCTCGGCGGGAAGCCTGCGCTCCCTCTCCCACTCCCCCTGCTTGTGTTCCCTCTCTCGTTGTGTCTCTCTCTGTCAAATAAGTAAAATCTAAAAAACAAAGACAAAAACAAAAAGCAAATGGAATGGGACAGAAATGATGCCGAAGGATTTCCAGGGCTGGGTCATAAAAGGCTGATGGCTGTCAGGACACTCTTTCAGAAGGCTGGTCAGTAGCACTCGGTCGTCATGCTTCGAAGAGGCCAAACTAGCCCACATGGAGAAGAAATGCAGCCTTAGTCAACAGCCATCAACAACCAGCCCCCAGCCTTTGAAATTCCAACTGAGGTCCTAGATGTTGCAGAGCAGAGACAAGCTGTCCCCACTGTGCCCAGTCCGAGTTCCCAGACTACAGAGTCCATGAGCAGAGTATGTCCAGTTTGGGGGTCATCTGTGTTGTGACTCTGGTAACTGGAACAATACCCGAGAGGTACTTGCACAGGTCTGTACAAGGAGACCTGTTTAGGAATGTTCACGGCACTGTTGCTCTTAAGAGCAATAAAAAGAGGGGCGCCTGGGTGGCTCAGTCATTAAGCATCTGCCTTCAGCTCAGGTCATGATC